GCCCCACCACCCGCCGGCCGCCGCCACCCCCGGGCGTGCGCGCTGCAGCAGCTCCTCCAGCTCCGCCGGCCCGCCATCGCCAGCGTCTCTGCGCACGCGGCACCAACGGCCCGACATTCACACCGTCTACCCAGACAGACAGCAACAGACAGACGAAGCAAAACACACGCCCGAAACAAGGGCACGCCAGCGTTCTTGCGCACGCCGCCACCACGCGAATTCACACCGGCTCACCCAGACAGACAGACAGACAGAAGAACCAAAGCACACACGCCGAAAACCAAGCCAGCGCCAAGCGTCGTGCGCACGCGCCACCACGCGAATTCACACCGTCACCCAGACAGACAGACAGAAGAACTAAGAAACAGACACGAAAAAAAGGAAGAGAAGAAGGGAAAATAATAAATGAATAAGAAATGAAGGAACAGAAAGAAAGGAAAAAGGTAAGGAAAGTAAAAAGAAAAGACGAAAACACAATAAAGGTAAAGGATCAAAGAAACGACGAAAAAGAAGGAAGAAGAAAAGAAAAAAATTCGCGCAGGCGCGCACAGAAAGAAAAAGATACAAAAGAAGAAAAAGACACAAAAAGCAGAAAGGAAAATAATAAATGAAAGAGAAGAAAAAGTAAGAAATGAACGACAAAAAGGAAACACAAAAACACGCAGAATGTAGAAAGAAAAGAGGAAAGCAACAAGAAAGAGAGGGACTTAAAGGAACGAGGAAAAACGCAGTAAGAAGAAAAAAATTAGAGGTAAATGAGAGCGTTTGCGCACGCACAAACACATACGTATACCGCCAGACAGACGAAAAATAAGATACACAAGAAGAAAAAAGACAAAAAGCAAGCGATTCTTGTTTTGTCAATGAAAATAAATTTAAAGAAAAATTTTGAAGCGGTTTTTGAGAAAATGTTATTTTTATGAAATGCATTAATTCCAAGCACAAATTACGTGAAAAATACTAGTTTTTGCAAAAAATAGCGAATGACCCTTTGTTAAAGAGCTGACTTTTTAGAAGAGATTTGTTCAAGGCAAAAATTTCTAGCTTCAACTTTGTGGTTTTAAAATGTTAACTTTGCATAGTTTTTGAAAATACAGAGTTCGCACCTAAATGAGATTAGCTTTAAATATCTACCGTCCTTTGATACATACAAAGAGGAAATTTAAACAAAAAACTGCAGCCAATTTTGAGAAAAAGCGTTTAAAAGTTACCTACATTTCACCCACAATTACGTACAAACTACTTACACATTCAAAAATTTGTACACGGCCTTATTTCAAGATGTCTTTCAAGAACATACTTCTTCCAGAAAAAAGGCTGTGTCTTCAATATTATAGTTGAAGGAAAACGCCAACAAATATTAACTTGTGCAATATTCCAAACGTCGGAGATTTCAACGAAAAAATTCCTGCCTTGTGCGAGGTTTATACTATCCAAGGACAAAGTTTGATAAAAAAAAATTGGAGCCATTTTCGAAAAAAAAATTAAAATTAGTTTTGGACGGATCAGAGCAGCCGACCACTAGAATTCTCCACCACACAGAAACTGAATTCGACCTAGCAACCTAGCTAGGGTCGAAAATCTGCCGCAGTCGGGTCTCGAGCCTCAGGACCTCCTGATCAGAGACGCTGCAGTGGCTACAATTGTTGCCCTGAGTCAACGCAGCCAGTACGACTGCACGAAAAACAACAACAACAACAAACAAAAGAAAACAAAAAGAAGAAGAAGAAAAAGAAAAGAAAAAAAAAGCAGAAGCACGAGCTTCCAGTCGCGAGAGGGCGTTCCGCAAGTGCTGGCCAGCGTACGTGTATGCCGGAGACGTGGATGATCTCGTCGAGGCGGTCCACCACGTGGAAGCGGTGCTCGTCGTCGTAGAAGCCCAGGTCACCGGTGCGGAACCAGCCCTCGGCGTCGAAGCTGCGCTGCATGGCCGCCTCGTCGTTCAGGTAGCCCAGCATCACCTGCGAACGCAAGGTCCAAAGGAACAGTCCGTCTAAGCGCCGCTTTCACCAATTTAGTTATTTGGTTTAGTTCATTTATAACTAACGGTTTCCGACCTTCATAGTTATTTACGTCATTAAGCCGATAGACATCGAATAACAGACGCAGCTGAGGTTTATAACCAGGAACTCCGTTAATTGTGTTATCGAACGGGTTCTTAAATACTTTTTGTAACACCATTTGCTTATAAGAAAAATAATATAAATTAGAAATATTGTTGCTTTTAATACGTAGGACTATAACAGCGGCTTCTATTTCAATTCGATTAAATTATTCGATGCATCAGACGCGACAGTCTTTCATTTCGATTCGATTGTTCTGACACGTGGTAGTTTTGCTTCTACACACCTTTAAACAGATGTACTTTCCCCATTTTAAGATGGTGGATATTCCAAGTGATGTTCTAGAAATTGCAAGTAGGGCACTTTCGACTTATTACTCGTGAAAATGAAGATAAGGTATGATAAAGAATACAAACATTTTTAATATTGACATCAATGTAAGAAAACTGACCAAGTAAATGAAACAGTTATGTTTGCGTACGCCAAGATCTGAAACGTACTAATTGGCAATGTTAGTTGGTACTATTTTGTATTGTATCTGGCACAAGTAAAATGTTTTTATAGCGAGTTTTATTTGATTATTTGATCTTAATAATAATAATTAATCGCCAATCATCCGTTTCTTAGTCTATGGCAATAGGGAATTACCACCCTTTGGGTAGACGAGTTTCTCAACGACGTTGCCACACAAATAACAACTGAAGGACTCAATAGAACAAGGGACTATCCCACATTGACCTAGTTCAGAGATACTGCGTGTAGTACTCGAACATTCACAAAATAACTCAGTACATTTTAAAACTTTTAAATCTAGTACATATTGCTTATAAGACCATACAAGATTCAAGGTATGCTCCATACGCACAAAAAAATTAAATTCTGTTTATTATTTTTTAATATATTTATTTAATAAGTATGTCTACAATGAAAACAAAAACATGAAGAAAAAAATTGAAAATTTATTTTGGGAGGTATCGGAATTTTGTGTAAAGAAATACGCCCTGAGCATTATATTGTTAGTCTGGGCCTTGACATATTTGTTAGAACTACCTCAATTGATTCAGTTGTTGTTGTTGTTGTTGTTGTTGTTTTTCATTATAACATGATTTGAACTTGTGTCTGAGCCAAAACAATATTTATACTAATAGTATTTACATATTTTAAACATTCTTGTCAGAAAATTAAAATAGCAAACAAATGAAATTAAAAAATAAAATGTTCTTCGTGTAATAGTGGGTAATAGGATGTTTTAGGTTTCCAATGACAGCTCAAAAGTCAACATTCGGGGAAATGGCTTTTAAATTATATTGTACTACAAACCTCCAGGGTTATAGGTTATACCTTCTTTTTGTATGTCCACATCTTCTCTTATATTCCTTCATTCTCTTAAATATCCTATTCTATTCTGTGTTTTATTTTTTTAAGGGAACCAAGCCCGGTTCAAGACTGGGGGCGTAGTTCCCCTAACGTCAGACTACGTAAAAATTCAAATCAAAACCAAACAAAATATATTAGAATAAAATAGGTTTTACCATGTTAAAGAGAAAATATCAATGGATCTAATTATGTTAAAAGTAAAAAAACTGCGGTTTTCTGTATTTTCCCACTTACTTTTTAGGTATAATATACCTGAAATAAAATATTGCCCTAAATGAATAATATTTGAAGTTATATTTACTGCTAACAGCTCAATTTGACAAAAAATGTGGGATAGCCCTTTTTACTACGGAAACCTTCCAATTGAATACGAATGTGTATTTGTGTGTGTGAACAGGTGCGTTACCTGCGGTCCCTTGACGAGGATCTCTCCGGTGTGGCCCGTGCCCAGCGCCACGTCGCCGTCGCCCACCACCTTGGCGCGAGTGTTGGGCACGAGGAAGCCCGCCGTGCCCAGCTGCCGCTCCCAGCGCGACGTCTGGCAGATGGCGGCCGTCGTCTCCGCACACCCGTACCCCTGCAACCGCCCGCCGCCATCTCACCACGCCACTCTCGCCAACACGACGCGACGGCGCGGCGGCCGCGCGAACCCTTTTTGTGCTCTGGGCCCGAGGGCACAAAACGGGGCCCATCCCTGGGACCCAGGTCACAAAATGGCGCCCGCCTCTGGGCTCCAGATCACAAACTGGCGTTTGTTTGCTGGACCCCAGATCACGAAATGGCGCTCGTCTCTAGGCGCCAGAGCACAGTTGCACCGGGCTCTGAGTGCCAGAGCACAAAATGCCTCCTGTCTGCAGGCCCCAGATCATAAAATGGCGCCCGACCCTGGGCACCAGAACATATATTGACAGCGGGAGAGAGAGGGAGAGAGAGAGGGGGGTATCCTTACAGGAAGGCGTTAGAGAAGCACCCGTTGCAAATATTCCATCCAGCACTTCCGCGCGTGTGAGAGAGTGAGGTACCTGCTGGAAGGCGACGGAGGGTCAGCATTTTCTACCACCCTGTCTTGTCCCACGTATGTGGGTGAGTGAGAGAGAGAGGGGGTATCCTTACAGGAAGGCGTCAGAGAAGCGCCCGTTGCAAATATTGCATCCAGCCCTTCCGTGCGTGTGAGTGAGATAACTGCTGAAAGGCGATATAGGATCAATATTTCTACCACCATCTCGTATCCCGTGTGTGTGTGTGTGTGCGTGTGTGCGCGCGAGAGAGAAAAGAGAGAGAGAAGAGAGAGAAGAGAGAGGAGAGAGGAGAGAGGGGAGAGAAGAGAGAGAGGAGAGAGAGGAGAGAGGAGAGAGGAGAGAGAGAGGGAGAGAGCGAGAGAGGGGGTCCTTGCTTGAAGACGTCAGAGAAGCGCCCGTTGCAAATATTGCATCCAGCCCTTCCGCGCGTGTGAGAGGGAGAGAGAAAGAGAGGGAGGGAGCGAGGTACCTGCTGGAAGGCGACGGAGGGCCGCAGGCGGCTGACGAGGCGCTCGGTGTTGTCGGGGGCCATGGGGGAGCCGCCGCACATGACGGTGTGCACGCGCTCCAGGCGCTCGGCCGGCAGCGACGGCGCCGCCGCCAGCCACAGCATCAGCGACGGCGTCAGGGCCAGCGCCGTGCTCTGCAAAACGCACAGCGTTTACACGGGCGCGCCAACGGCTCAGTGCAGCAATTGACGCCACTGCAGTGCCTCTGACCGGGGGGTCCTCAGCTTCCACACCCCACTTTTTTCTTCGACGGGTCTTGCAAGAGGAACGTAGCTTTTATTTTTTGTTTTTTGTTATTTTTTTTGAAAGAATGGAGATTTGAGATTGATTTCTTCACTAATCATTTATAAAGGCCCGTGGCAAATTTTTCTTCCACATCGTAAGAACGGCAAAAAGCGGCAAATTATGGGCTATGCTGTTTTGTGATTAGTTGAAATGGTCCTGCTAACTTCGAGGACGTAGAGGTTCTGATCTTCGAGGTCCTCTGGTTCCACTCTCACGGTCGCAGGAGTTTCCACGATAGCTACATAGCGAGGTCAATGTTAATAGTGCATCGTCCAAAAACAACTAACGACCCGTATTTTCTCCCTTATGCAATATCACATGTTACAAGTTACTAAATCTGTTTTAGAAACGTATTTTAAAATGTCAATGATTTTTGGACGATGAAAATTAACATTGACCTACCTATGTACCTAGCGTGGAAAATCCTGCCACCGTGGGGAGTGGAACAAGAGGACCTCGAAGATCAGAACCTCTACGTCCTGGAAGTTAGCAGGACCATTTCAACCAATCACAAAACAGCATAGTACACAATTTGCCGATTTGTGCCCTTCTTACGATGTGGCAAAATATTTGGTGCGGTGTTCGTGCAAACTTCCAATGGAAGTTAGAAGAACCAAACCTCGAAATCTGCTAATAATGAAAGTATACGCACAAAACTGTACTCCAAATTTGCCGCTTTTTATTTATAAACGATTAGTGAAAAAATCAATATCATATTTCCATTCTTTCAAAAAAATTAACAAAAACCCAAAAAATAAAAGCTACGTTCCTCTTGCAAGATCCACCGAAGACGAAACTAGACGTTCCCTGTAAACCAGCAGCCATAACAATACATACTCCCCCCCAAAATTTGCCGTAAGCAAGTGTTTAATATAAACTGTAATAAAAAATTTGCCGCGGACCGGTTAGTTTCAATTAAGCGGGTTCGAATCACAAAAGTTCCCTCTATGGAACGTCCAGCACACGTAAATAAGACCATACCTCCTAAAACAGCACATATAACAATTCATACTCTACACCAATATTTGACGCAAACAAGTACTAAATAGACCCTCCCGGCCAGAAGCACTTCAGTGACATCAGTAGGTGCCTTGAGCCGCCTCAGCCGGTGTATCGATGTTTCCGTTAAAATGTTACCTTGGTCTGGTGCAGCGCCTGCAGGTAGGAGTCGGGGCTGGGGTCGGCCAGGGTGACGATGTGCGCGCCCAGCCGCAGCCGATTCAGCGTGACCACGATCATCCCGTAATTGTGGTACATGGGCACGCTGCACACCAGCTCCTCCTGGAAGCTCTCTGCGCGCGCGCCGTCACGCGTTCAGCAATGACATCGGCGTGGAGTGATTGATTGATTGTTAGTGATTTCGGGCGCGTAAATAACTAGTCATTAGTCCCGAAAGTGTAGTGTATGTTTTTTTCTCAGAAGGTGGCGGTGGTCTTCTCCCGCTGGATAGTAAGATCTGGTGGCGACCTATCGTCGGCTGTCGGGGGTTTCCCCATCTGGTATCTCCTACCAGTGGGGAATCGCCCCAGCCGGGACAAGCTCTAAGCTCCCCATCGGTCTCCCGGCATGTGTGGTAGTGTAGTGCGTATTAGTGCAGGTGGGCTTTAAAGGGTGAGGGTAGGACAAGGAAGATAGTGCGCGGTCCGTGAAACGTTTGAAGGGTACCACTCCGGCATTCGCCTGGTATTGATTAGAAAAAACCACGGGAAACTACCGATCATGGCAGCCGGCCGCTAGAATTCTCCTCCAAACTGCGAATGACCTAGCTGACAAGCTAGGGTCGAAAAAATACTACCACCATCGAGACTCGAACCTGGGACCTCCCGATTAGATTCACTGCAGAGACATCAGTTGATGCTCTGAGTCATCTCTGCCGGTCAAAAGCGTGGGAAACCTTTGGACGCTAATGAGTAGGGAGCGTATTTTTATGATTTCGCATATTTTTGTCCGGTACAGGAAATTTCTTGACATTTGGTTAGAATTGGATACCATGTAGATTAATATGTTAGTGCTTATTTGGACTATTTTTCCTGCTGGCACATATTCGTGTAATTACAGGCTCATATTTTGCATCTTTTGTTAAAATAGAGACATCTCTAAAAACTTTTCATGATTTCATAGAATCAATTTGTGAGCGTTCATTGATTAGAAAAAGCTTGTCAGAGATTGCGTTTTTCCTTTTCTTCAGATAATAAAATACTTCTGCAAATGTTGCATATTTCTTGATATATGTTTAAACTAGATAGAATAAATGCAACAAATCATACAATGTACTTCACGAAGGTGAATATTTTCTTCAATTTTTTCTCCCTCGAAGTATATTATATTATAGTATGTTAGAACAAACACATATTTTCATTAAAAGCATACTTCACCTGAATTTTATCAAGAAAATTTTATTCAGGAAATGAAGTATTGTTAATTTTAATTGCATATTAAAGTGCTTATTTCAGAATTTTTGGGTCATAAATGCAAATTTATAAAAGCATATTTCAAAATTGTTTGGGCTTAAAAATTCCTTCCGTACTTATTAGCAATTTGCAAATATATGATGCTTATTAAAAACAAGAAAAACATGCAATATATACAACATACAAGAACTTTTTAATAATTGTAAAGAAAGAGAGAGAGAATGAGAGAGAAAAGCAAAGAAAGAGAAGCCAAAAGAGAAGAATGGGTAAGGAAAAGGGATGAGAAAGAGACAAAGAGACGCCAAAGGAGGAGAAAGGATGAGGGAAAAAGAGAGACAGAGAGAGACAGAGAGAGAGAGACAGACAGACAGACAGAGGGAGAAGGAAAGAGAGAGAGAGAGAGAGAAGCCAAGAGAGTAGGCAATGAGACTGACCCGTGGCCTCCTTGCTCTGCTCGAAGGCCTCGTGGCTGATCTGGCAGATGCTGGTGACGAGGTTGGCGTGGGAGATGCGCACGCCCTTGGGCGGGCCCGTGGTGCCGCCGGTGAACGCCACCACCGCCAGCTGCGCCGGTCGCACGTCCGGGAAGCGCGGCTCTGCGAACACGGCGCCACAACCATCTCCGCTCACCCACCGCCTCCTCTCCTCCCCCAAGCCCACAATGTCGTGTTGTTTTACTCCATTTATTCAAAATCACTGTCACATTTACAGGTGTTTCAGAATAAATGTTACAAACTTCTAGCGTATCTACAGAGGAAGCAACTGAACACTTTTTTATAATGAAAGAACAATGGGACGTCATCACAGTCACCACCATTCCTCAACTCTTCCGTCCTCCAAGCCGACAATGTTTTATAATTTTACTACATTTATTCAAAATCGCTCTCACGTTTACAGGTGTACCAGAATAAATGTTACAAACTTCTAGGGCATCTACAGAGGAAGCAAATGATCACTTTTTTATAATGAAAGAACAGAATAGTGGTGACGTCACCACAGTCACCACTATTCATCAACTCTTCCCTCCTCCGAGCCAACAATGTTCTGTAATGCTACACGATTTATTCAAAATAATTACCATGTATACAGAATAAATGAATCTCAGAATAAATGTTACAAACGTGTGAAAATGATAACTTTTTGACTGTGAAAAAAAGAGGGAAGTCCCCACTATCACCACCACTTCTAAGACAATAATGTTTTATAATTTTACTTCATTTATTCAAAATCACTATCACGTACACAGGTGTTTCACAATAAATGTTACAAACTTCTAGGGTATCTACAGAGGACGAAAATGATCACATTTTGACAATGAACTAACAGTGAGAAACGCTAACGAAGAACGGCCGTTATAACGGATGCAACCCGTTACAGCCGGGTTTCCTTCCCCGCTTGGTTGCACAAAGCATTTTATGAAAATGTAGTAAATTTACATCAACTTTTGAACTCTTTAAATAAAAGGTACACTACATGACCAATTTACTTAAGTCGTTTCTCGTGGGTACTGTAAAGGTGGTTTCACAGTGAAACTAGGTAACAGTAATCAAATGCGGCACCTGCATAGACACATAACCCACTTACATTCTTAAAAATACATACATTTTATCATTCACACACACACACACATACACACACACACACACACACACACATATATATATATATATATAT